GCGGAGAGGTCCGCGAAGCCTGGACGCGCTGAGCTCAGCGCGTGCAGGTTTCAGCATGCAGGCAATCTCTGCAAGCAGCGGGAACGCTCCCGCTGCTTGCGGAGAGGTCTGCGAAGCCTGGAGAGCGTGAGGGGTCGGTGCGCACCGACCCCTCTCACTCTCCAGGCTTCAGCGAAAGCCTGCATTCGCACCATAGGACGCACACACATTTCCCCTTCATTTTTGGAGGGGAAAAGTGCGTCCTATGGTGCGAAAAATACGGTATGTATAGTTCATGCCAGTATAATTCTAACTGCACACAAACCCACCACTAAATGGTACAGCATGCTGCGTGGGAAGGCATTGTTTGCATAGATGGTGGTGTAGATGCATTCAAAATAGCTCCTCCTACACTACAGATGGCGTGCATTAAAAGGATACAAAAGTCCCCGTGCAGCGGAAAACTACACTATTATTCATGGTTGTGGCTGCTCAAATAGAAACAATGACTACAGGTGCTTTCACTGCTAAAGCAATATAACTTGAACAGAATCCTCTGACAGTCATTGGGCAATATGTGTAAAATAAACAGCCAGATAACTTATTCAAATATTTCCTCTTTTTGCTAACTAATGTAGGAGGGAAATTCCAGCAGCAATCAAGTAAATCTAGGATGGCTGAGATTGAAACTTTCCCTTACCCGCCCCGCGCCCCCAACAATATTAGGAAGATTAGGAATGTGGATTTTGCTCAGGTTTTTATTGTTGTTATTCTTTTTTTTTGGAGTGGCATGGGAGAGCAGTAGTCAGTAAAGGCTATAATCATATGCATGTATACCTGGGATTAAGTCTCACTTAATATGCCTTTCCCTTCCCTTCCTTTCCCTTCCCAGGTAAACATGCATACGATCAGACTGACAGCTGTTTTATTATGGGCAACAGGAAGTGGGAACCCCATTCATTTCTCCACTTAACTGGGCTTGCATACACCCCCTTCAGAAAGAAGGGAGCCCAGAGAAGTGTGTTAATGTATCCCATGAGCACAGGATACCCTAGGCAGCACTGTGCCTCAGGGAGATCAGACTTACTTTCTCTTTATCTGATTTTCAGAGCTCTCTCTACTGTCCTAGCAAGACTGGGAAAGCAGTCAAGCTCTAGGCAAACAAGAAATTATTTGCAATGACTGAAAGATCAACAAAGATTTGAAGGCCAAAGTGGAATGCCGTAACATGCTGGAGATTGAAACAAAAAATAAAAAAATCCTTCCCGTAGCACCTTAGAGACCAGCTACGTTTGTTTACTGGTATGAGCTTTTGTGTGCATGCACACTTCTTCAGATATCTCAGAAAGCTCATACCAATAACAAACTTAACTGGTCTCTTAGGTGCTACTGGAAGGATTTATTTTTTTAATTTTGTTTCGACTACGGCAGACCAACATGGCTGCCTACCTGTAACTGGAATGCTAGAGATTGTGTCACTGACCTAGAGAGCAACCTGCTCTTTGGAGAAAGCCTGATCCAGATGCTATGGTTTCTTTTGCAGAGCTCAGCCTCTGAATAGAAAAAGCAACATGGTTTGAAATGTGACACTTATCAAGCGACTAATGCAGGTAACAGTTCTGAAGTGGTCAGTAAGTTCACATGTACCAACAAGGAGACTGGAACTAAACTTCAAATGCTACCAAGGACTCGCTTCCTTTGGAGATCAAATGACATGATAACAAGGCACTCCAAGAAGAAAGCCCTCCGAAGGAGAGTTGAACTGCCATCCTATGCATGGGAGCGCAGAGACCCCAGATACAAGAAGCTGAATGCACCTTAGGTTTCCCCTCCCAAACTGCCCAGTGCCCAACCTAAACTTTTTGAAAAGAGAGTACAGCAGCCAGCTTTTGTCTCAATTGTATCTATCATCTTAGTAATACAGTACTATTTCATCTTCTTAAGGGGGCACAGATTTGACATGTGCAGTGATTTATCTGTGTGCATCTGTGACTTGGTAAAACAGATATTTTCATTTGTGCCCCTATAAATATTGAAATATTTGATTAGGAAAATGCTTTGTAGTTTTTCTGTTATGTGCAATTTTAATTTTTCCATGTTCTCCCTTCTTTTAAACCTGCAAAAGCCTTGAAATGAAAACAAACAGAATTGATAAATGTTTTTAAAATGGCAGTGTCAGGCGAATTGGCTCTTTTTGGCCATGCTTACTAGCTTACTTATACTACTACTATTCCATAATTCTTTTCTTATTATGTATTTATTAAATGGCACCCAGTTCCTTATCTTCTGTTCCCCATTTCCTGTTTTCCATCCTGTTTTTTAAAAAAATATTTCTTCTATTTATGTTTCCTCCATTTTTCCTCTTCCCCCCAAAAAATGTTCCAGAGGTTTACAGCATGATCCTAGGCATGTATTGTTCACTATTATTTATTACATTTCTATCTGGATCTCTTCCATCATGTAACTCAAGGCAGTATACACATGGTTCCCAGTGTTATAAGAAAAAAAACTGCTCCCTGTCCCCTATGGGGTATCTAAGAGCCCGTATAGAGTCCTTAAGTAGGTTCTCTGTTGTTAGGAGAAAATAACAGACCAACCAGAGAATGCAGTGGACTCTTGGGTTACGTTAGCTTCAGGTAATGAAACTTTTCGGTTGCGAACGTGGCAAACCCGGAAGTGTATACTTCTGGGTTTTGCCGCACACGCATGCACAGAAGCGGCGCCTCTAGATGCAGACTTTTTGGGGTACGTATGGACCCCTGGAACGAATTACGTTTGTATCCGGAGGGTCCACTGTATTGAGAAGCAAGGCAGCTAGCGAGCCTGATCTTTGTTAACTGTTGCAACCGGGCGCTCACAACCACATGCAGGAGTCAGGAAGGACTCAGCCCCAAGAACAATGGTGCGCAAGCCCTTCTATAGACTTTTGAAGTTGCCCATCCTGTAGCCAGAGACCACCCCCCCAAAAATCATGCATACATCACAGAAGGAGGCGGGCTACAGCATAAATCCTGTCTGGCAGGAGTGATTGCTTTACCTGGGCAGCCTGGCCATTCCTTCTGAGATGCTAAATACTTAGTCCCTGAATCCAGGTCACAGGCTCACCCTATTCATACACAATACGCCCTTAAGACAGGATTTGTGAGCAAAGAGACAGTGGGGAGGTTTCCCCATTTCCTTCCTTACTGTAGAGAATTTTTGAGGTGGCTGGAAGAGTCAAAATGGCTTCATGACTGTTCCTCCTATACTATTTCAGACATGTGGTATATATAGTTATGATCATAAATCAACAAGGCAAATACATACATATGATTTATATATATGAGACCTTAAGGTAAAAGGTAAAGGGACCCCTGACCATTAGGTTGCGGCGCTCATCTCGCTTTATTGGCCGAGGGAGCCGGTGTACAGCATCCGGGTCATGTGGCCAGCATGACTAAGCCGCTTCTGGCGAACCAGAGCAGCGCACGGAAACGCTGTTTACCTTCCCGCCGGAGACCTGTTTATCTACTTGCACTTTGACGTGCTTTCGAACTGCTAGGTTGGCAGGAGCTGGGACTGAGCAACGGGAGCTCACCCCATCGTGGGGATTTGAACTGCCGACCTTCTGATCGGCAAGTCCTAGGCTCTGTGGTTTAACCCACAGCGCCACCCGCGTCCCATATGAGACCTTAGAATTCCTATAATACCAGGCAAAACGTGCCCTATAATTTTTATTAAAAAATCAATATACTGTAGACCCAACCATAAGTAGTCAGGTGCTACTATGAACCCAGGAATTGTTTTTTTTTCAGGAGGTGCTCCCTTTTTTCACCCCCATTCAGGTAGGCCACCTCTAGAAAGCTTTGGGGCAGGCAGGAAAAAAACAAGCACACCTTGTACCCCACAGCGGCCAGTCTGATGCCTCAGTGGGAAACCCACAAGCAGGCAGGCTGGTGAATTCCAACCTGGTGGACTCCCAAATGTTTTGGACTACAGTTCCCATCAAGCACACCTATACGATTCAGGGGCTGATGGGAGTTGTAGTCCCAAAGAGCCAGCAGGCACCTGGGTGCTGGGGCTAAGCTAAGGGGTCCTCCTGAGACACAGAACCATGAGGGGGTGGGGAGCTGAACCGGTTGCATTTCTACCTGTCACCACAACTCAGAAGAAACTCGCCCTGAGAGGACGGGAAAGGGGAAATAAAACAACAATTGGCTCGTCTTCTTATTTGTCGGCCAAGTTTCCTTTGGGGGGTTAAACTGCTACTGAGCCACCGCCCCCCTCAAATGACGGGGCTGGATGTTGGCTGAGGCAAATAACAGCAGCCATAATAAATTCCCTCTCACACACATATTAACATATTCTGTATAAAAAGACGGGGGGGGGGAGAGAATAGCAAAAATAAAGAAAGAAAACGGGTTAATGTGGTCGAATTAACGTATTTGGGTAGACTTGCGGGTATAAGACGGCATAAAAATTCAATGAAGAATAAAATAATAATATAGCCTGTCCGAATACGTAATCTAGGCATGTCCACTCGTTCGTTTATTCCACTCCGAGGATTTTATGGAAAACAGGTTTTACCGTTTCATGTACATCGCCTAGATAGAAATATGTAGAGATACACACACACACAGCATATGGATTAATCCGTTTATGGAAACGAGCAGCGAGCGCAGCTGCCTCCTCAGAGAAGAACAAAGGCGGCCGGCGCTATCTCCATCCCCGGCCTGCCGGGCCGCCGCCGCCGCCTCCCTCCAAGCCGCTGAGGGGCCGCGGTGGGAGAAGCAGCCGACGCCGCTTCCGAGACGCCGCCGACGCCATCACCCCCGGCGAGGGGGGGGGGGGGAGAGACGCGAGAAAGGAAGGCCGGCGCCGCCCGCGCTCTTTCCGCGCAGCCCGAGGGGCCGCGGCGGAAGGCGCCATCTTGTGAGGAGGGGGCGGCCCTCGCTCGCTCGCTCGCCCGCCCTCGCGTCCTACCTCCTCCGCCTCTTGCTCCTCCTCCTCTTCCATGCCTCGGCCGCCAAGTCCCCTCGCTCGCGCTCCCTCAGTCTCCGCCGCTCTGCGAGGGAGCGCAGCCACCCCAGGCCGCCGCCGCCGCCGCCACCGCCACCGCCGCCATTTCCAGCCGCTTCCAGCCATGGCAGGTGAGGGGAGGGGAGGTCGCTCGGATAGGGGAAGGGGGGGTGCCCCATTCTTCCATTAACGCCCACCTGTCCGGGTCCCCCGAATGCCTCGGCCCCCCCAAAAAATATCCAGGTTATTTCTGGGCTCCTTCCCTCCCTCCGCGGCTTCGCCATCCTTCCTGAGCATCCCTTTCTCGTTTCGTTTCTTTCCATGATCGCTGGTTTCTTCTTGCCCTGTCAGGCCCAAAGCCGCCCCATTATCCTTACACGCCCGCCCAGGTGTCCACACGCCGCTTGGGACCCCCCTTGACCGGCCTCTCCAAGCATCGCCTTGCCCCAGAATAATGATCCCCCCCCATCCAAAAAGGTGGGTCCCGCGCCCACGACCTTTTGCATCTACCTACCTCCCCGCCCCCACCCCCCAATATAGCCCCTTTTATCCACCTCTTATGCCCTTCCCTTCTAAATATTCGGAATTTACACCTCTTTTTCTTTTGGCTACCTGGACCAGTAGTTCACGACTTTGCCTTCTTTCTACTCTTTGCATCTCCTGGTTTATAAGGCGCAGTTACTGCAACCCCCCCCTTTTCTCTGCCCCCCCCCGCCCAATAATCCATACTAACCTTTGTACTGTGCACTGTTTTGTGCAATGTTAATAGTTGCAGCATGCACAGCTGTCACACCCTTCCGCGAACTCCTCTTTACAATGTGCCTGGAGTCATGGATTTCCATGTGTGCGTTCACACAAATGTGGTCCCTCAGTTGCCCCTTCTTTCCACCTTGGCATCTTCTGCCTATAGGAATCCTGCCTTTCCTCTTCTCCCCACTAGACCCTGATGGTTGCAGCCTAGATACACATATTTTTTCCTCCATGCCAAGCTATAGCATTTGCCGTCATACCCTCTGCCCCTTTTTGCATCTTTTCTGAGGTGAGCGGCCCCTGGTTCTCTTTTCTTCCCACCCCCCACAGCTGATTCGAGTTCTGGCTTTCTACTTGTAGCAACCCGTTTCCTCCACTTATGGGCACTTGAAATATCTTTCTGCTTATTTTTATATTAACCCAGTTTGTTGCCTCCGTAGCTGTAACTACAAAAGCCTTGTTATCGTATGATATATTCATTCCATCACTTCTGTTTCTCTGTCTCTGTCTCCCTGATAATGCCTTGTTACTACAGCAGATATTAGCCTCATTTTGCTCCCTTCTTGTTGGTACATTAATAATAGCATTCTAGCCATTCTCTGTGTGATACCAGAGCGAACATCTAGCTAATTACTGCAGGGTTTTTGCCTTCAAATTGACTGTTGGAAAAGGATAAGAGGATTGAAATGGGTTGGTGCCAGCGAGAATCATCCATCTGATTAAAAATGAATGCTTTCTTCCTAACGCACTCCTGGGTGTAACCTCTCCCTTTCACTTGTATGTCCATCTTTTTTTGAAACAAAATGGGTGGCAGACATATAAGGCTTATAAACCAGGTGAAGAATTTAGGTTAATTCACCTGCAGTGATAGACTACATTCCCTGTCTGGTTGGGACTAATTTAAAATTGATGCAGGGATAGTGTGTTTCTGTAACTTTAACTCATAAACTGCCTGCCTTTCAAACTAGGAAGCATTTATTGTATATTAAAATATTGGAGGACAAGGAATTAACTCTTCTCTCTTTCACTGAACAGCATCATTCAAGCCTCTCCCCAGCTTATAGATAAAATGTATTCTCTAAAACTGAATGACGTAGCTGATACCTACTAATGTTGCTGAATCCATACACGTACTGTATTCTTAAAATATAGTATATTCCACCAAAGCAGTATATGCAGGCTCACTTTTCATCCCTTCATTTTGAAACTGACATAGGTATTCCCCTGCCCTTCAAAGATAAGCTTGGAACACAACCTTGATCTGCTCCTATTCTAGCTATTCTATCTATTTTCTTTGAATGCCCAGTTCCCTCTTGAAAAGCAAAAGATTAAACAATCAATGAATTTGCTTTGAATGACTGAAATAATTGATTTTCCTTGTCAGAATTGATTGCTTTGTCTCTCAAGGATTCTGGGTCAATGAGTGCTCTGTTGCTGGACCCTCATTTTAGTCCTTGTTTAACTGGAAAGTTGGAGACTCTGCAGAACTGGAAATGCTGGACAAATACTGAGTGTGGGTGTGGACTGACTATTTAGATTTGTGCATTTTGGGGAGGTGGGCAAGAAGTGAGTGACACTGGCAAGAGGTGTCAGAGCAAATAATAGATTGTCCATTTGCAGCCCTCTACTGACTAGGAATTGAGAGAACATCAGACAATTAATGTACAGAATCCTACCATGTCATGTAGTCCAAGCAGTTTGCTTATCTACACAATTGCCCTTGTTGACTGGATCTTGCACTCCAGCAGCATTGGAAGCAATCTATACCAAAAGAAGAGTCTTGACCCTTGGATGTTTTTTTAAAGGTAGTTGTTAAAGATCATAGTTGATAGGAAGCTTAGTGTGAAGTCTTAATTCTTTGATGGTCTAATGCTAGGAACAAAAGCTATCCTGGAACAACCATTGATGTTTGGTTAATAGACTGTAAACAAAAGGAATGAACAAGAAACTAGATTGGAGGGCAGAAATGAATGTTGCTTGGAATTTTTGTTTTTATCTATAATATATACTAGTAAATAGGTTTAGATGCACCATCTTCAATACCTGATTAACTTTTAAGAACAAAGATAGGTCACACCTTAGCATGTATTCTTGCTAGCAGAGCATAATGCCTGGTGAATTGGGGGTGGGGCGCAGTAGATAACAAAGCACAGTATAAAATATTAGGATTATAGTCCCCTCTCCCAAATTGTTATTTTCCACTGTATAGTAATGCCTTATGTTATAACTCTTGCTCTACAGCCCACAATGCCAGTAAATATTGGAAGTAGATCTCATTGATTTCAGACGAACTTGTTTCCAAGTAACCATGCTTGAAAGCAGTGAGGATTAACTGGAAATATCACTTCCATCCTCTACAGAATACTAAACTGCTTCCCTCCAACTTTATAGAAGCTCAGTGTTTGATTTTCAGATTCTTCATGAAGTTATATGTAAGCTGTTAATTAGGTGACATAGGGATCCTGTGTGTGATCAAATATCAGCAGTGTAATTGAAAACTATTGACCTGTTTGGTTATGTAGGCAGTTAGAAAAGTCTGCTCTGCCTAAAATAATAGTGGTTGAGCAATTAACTGTAAGAGCAGGATGCAGTTTTGGTGCAGTAAGTTCTCTTCTGCTGTTGCCTGTGGATGTGCACCCATTCATCTTTGACCACAGGTCAAAGATGCAGGAGGTGCTTGACAGTCCTCAGTGTCTTAAGAATGGGAAATGTAATGCTAGTAGCATCTCAACTGTGTAACAACTTAAACACAGTGACCGCTTACCTGCATGCCAAGGATGGCTGAGACAGTATAAGTTACGTTGTGTTTTATTTATATACAGTATTGCTTTTTGGCCCAAAGGTCTCCAAAGCGGTTAACAACATATTAATACAAAAGAAAGATACCACAAATACAATCAACCAATCAAAACAATATAACATAGCAAACCACAAAATACCCATCAGTTACAATGGATATCACAAGAAGATGGTCACATGAAAACGATCTAGTAAGCAATGCCTAAAGAGTGTTGTAGGTATTGCAAAAGATGTCAGGGACAGGGCAGGATAGACTGCAAAGCACTGAAGGGGAATATGTACACAGCTGCATTTTTGTAGGCTTGTGTGTGGGCATTTTGAAAATGTGAATAATGCATGGATGGCCAGACTTTGCACAAGTAATGTACAAACAGTTGACAGATGTTGGGATTTTATTCTTAAGCGAAGGCAGTCTTCCTCATGAAAGTGCTTGGATGATAATAATAGTGTTTGTTAAAGAAGCTGTTGTGAAAAGCTGTTCATTAAGTTAAAACATACTTTTTGTTTTACTCAGAAACTGCAGGAAGAGGATATTAACAAATGGGAATGTCCTTCATGATGTCGAGAAAGGTAGGGAAAAGATTAAAGATAGAAAAATAAAGCTGCATTCCGTTTTCTGTTGCTGACTTCAAAGCTGGAATGGGATGTAAAGAGGAACATGTTTTGACCAGAAGGATTATCTTTGGTTGCGATAAAAGTCTTAGGAAAATACTTTTCCAGCAATTTGTAGAGGAGCGAGGACCTTTATTCTCTTCAAAATAACAGAAATCGGGCTATTCACCAATTCTTTGAAAGCTTGAGGTTTGCACAGTTGACCAAAAATTTCTCTTGTGTGGCACCACCTTTCTAAATAGATCTGCAGCAGCCAGTCTTGCCTCCCAAGTCTCTGCTTCAGTAACATGCCCACCTTCAAATGAAATCTACTGGTTCACATTCTTGTTCTGAGCATCATAGATTCAAATGTTTATTACCAGGAGAGATGCCATGCCCTGACATTTTCTATAAAAGGGGGCGTAGCTTAGTGGTAGGGCTGGGAAAGACTGCTGCCTGAAATCCTGGGAGGTAACTCCCACATAAGTTGTGGACTTACTTTACTTTTAGAAAATGTATTATTAATGTGGTGACAGTGTTAGACCAGGGAGATTCAAGGTCTCACTCAGCCATGGAGCTCCCTGGATGACCTTGGGCCAATCAACGTTTTCCTTGTCTTCTATACAGGAGTCTTGTGAGAATCAGATAGTGTGAGGGGCAGTTTATGCTACCCTGGGGAAAGGATTAAATTAAAATGTTATAAATTAAACCAACCGACCTTCAAACAATACCTGATGCTGATTGCCTCTCCTCCCCCCAATATCCATTTCTGGAAACTTGGTGAGTCACTATGCTTGGCTTCTGCAGCTCACTGGTGGTTTCTAATAAATCTAATAAAGATTATTACCATTTTTAAAAGAATTTATCTGGCATTTATTTTCCCCCTTGGCATTTGTTCAACCTGTCTTCTCGTTGAAGGTTGTTGTAATGATTAGATACAACCTTCAGTGTCACATGAAAGCTATTGCTTCTCTGATAGCTTGGTGATTAGTTCTCTGTCTTTGATCCACCAACTGAATGTGATCAGTCATTTAAACCTATTAGTAATCAATGAGGTTGGGGTATCTAACTGAAAGTAGTTTATTCCAGCTGGAGTCACCAATTTCTTAAGATGCATGCAGATAGTATATAGCAGGAGTTAACATGTACAACTGCATACCCTCCTCCTAGGGACGTCCTAGTCAATAATAATAATACTTTTATTATTTATACCTGACCCATCTGACTGGGTTCCCCCAGCCACTCTGGGTGACTTCCAATGTATATAAAAACATAATAAAATGTTAAACATTAAAAAAAAACACCTTACCTATATAGAGTTGTATCCTGCTGTCTTGGTGAAGATAAATGTGGAGAAAAATGTTATGTGTCGGTCTATGGAATGGATAACCTTTGCAGGAAAGATGGTGTGCTTCAAATCATTTAACTGTTTTTCAGATGACAGCTGAAATGTCTGCTTTTCAGTTGTTGCTGGGATACGTATTGCTGTACTGATGTATAAAGAGTTTAGGATTTGGGGATGAAAGCACATGTGTCACTATGCGAGATCAAGTATTGGCAGGCTACTGGAGTTCAAGCATTATACATGTGAGAAATTCTTAATAGTTTGGGCAACATACTTTCATTAAATAATCTGTACTGTAGCTCCAGACTTTCTAATAGCAGTAGGATAGGTTTGTTATAAGCAATTTGTCGGCAATTTGATTAGAATGCAGTTTGGTTGAAGAAAGGATAGTTATAAATTACCCTAGCTTGGTTATAAATCACACTAGCTTGATTCTGCCAAAGAGAGATTTACATTGATCAGTTACTCTTGCTTTGCTCCACTCTCATTGTTTCTCCGCTGAAAAACTTGAATATATTCAGAAGCATAAACACAGATATTGAGCACAGAGAAACACTTTAAAATATTTTTGATGTCTGTCAGAAGATTGTCGCTCATAAAGTTCTTCCTCATGTGTTTTGGAATAAAATATGGGTTAACGTCACTGCCATGCCTAGTGCTTTGGCAAATAAAATGTCATGCAGTAGGATACCTCTCCTGAAATGCTTCCTCCTTGTCTCATGAGCAGGCAGGCTGCTAAACCCAATATGACGAATTCCAGCTGTGGCAGTAATTAATAGCCAAAAAACGATATGGAAATTGACATCCTCTGCTAGCACAAGACATTTTCGTGCCCGAGTTTAAAAAATCCAAATGACACCCCGCCTGCTTAACATTAGGATACCCTCCCTTAGAAAGGTTGCCTGTATAAGCCTTGTTGAAATGAGCAAGGAGACGGTAGAATTCTTGTTGTGCATTCATATTAGCTTTTGTTCAGCAAAACATCTAAGTAGGTTGGACTGTATATGTCAGACCTATCCCTGCCCACCGCTGCCCTCAGTGATACCCAAAATCTGCTGCCCTACTTTGTCTAATGATGGTTGCCCCCTCTGTCTGAACTTACTGAAGCTGAAATTCCTTCATTTGCCCTGTTAAGTATTTCATGACAAGCATATTTTATCAAAAAGACATTAGGCCTCTGTCCAAGTTGTATAATAAGAAAATAGCATGTGTGTGTGTGTTGTTTTTTTTGGTTAGCAAGCTGTTATCCTTCATCCAAGGACCAGCTTGCATAATCATTCTTTAATGGCTCAGTGCCTCTGACCTGCGTTCAAAAATGTATTGTGTTCCTTGTCAAACCTCCATGCTACAGAATCAGGACTGTAGGAAAAGTTTTCAAACTGGATACATCTACCGGTACGGCTGCTGTTTCAAGAAAGATTGTAAAGCACAAAGCCAATGGCTTATAGATAGGTGAAGCCATATTTGGTCTAGGGGGAAAAATGAGATATTACTACAGCTATAGCTAAAGTTGAACAAAAGTTGTACAAGAGCCCACTGCATCAGACTTTGTGGAGGATGCTTAGTAAGGGTTTCTGTGGGATCTGCCAAAAATGTTCTTAAGCTCTCTATATGCAGGTAACTCTTTCTGTTTCAGCATGTTAGTTGGTTCTCATAGGATTATGGGACATGTTTTTAATTGTTCATGCAGATTGTGGCCTCATCAGTACCATTACTGCTTCTGAATGCTGATTTAATGTGCCAGGTGTTGTATAAAGTGCCTAAGTGACAATTATTCCTGCTCAGAGGCTTCTAATCTACAATAGATTATCATGATGGGGACTAGTCAGGTATTGGAACAAAATTGAGTTGGGGAGTGTCATGGCAATGGAGAAGCTTGGATGGTTCAGGAAAGGCTATGTGAGATATGGAAAGGACATTGAGTGTGGAAAGGACAAGAAGCTTCAGAAGGCATTCAGATTTGGTGGAAACCCAGCTATGTGGGTCTGTCAGATGGGTTTTGGGTAGTGGGTGCTTTCTGCCAACATTGTCTCTCATGGTTCTAAACTACTTGCTACAGCTATGTAATGGCTTTTTGCACCATATTTCTGTTGGTTAAGCTTCAGCTGACAGGGACGCGGGTGGCGCTGTGGGTAAAACCTCAGCTCCTAGGACTTGCCGATCGCATGGTTGGCGGTTCGAATCCCCGCGGTGGGGTGCGCTCCGGTCGTTCGGTCCCAGCGCCTGCCAACCTAGCAGTTCGAAAGCACCCCCGGGTGCAAGTAGACAAATAGGGACCGCTTACCAGCGGGAAGGTAAACGACGTTCCGTGTGCTCCGCTGGCTTGCCAGATGCAGCTTGTCACGCTGGCCACGTGACCCGGAAGTGTCTGTGGACAACGCTGGCTCCCGGCCTATAGAGTGAGATGAGCGCACAACCCTAGAGTTGTCAAGACTGGCCCGTACGGGCAGGGGTACCTTTACCTTTAAGCTTCAGCTAAGCTTGGTGTAGACAACTGCTGGCCTGGCTCCCAATGTGGTGCTTGAAACTTGTGTTAAAAGTCCTTCATTTGTAGCCCCCTCTATTAGTAAACGTATATTTAGCTTTAGGTGTAAATGTTATGATCATATACAATGTCGGCACCATAATTTTATTTTTAGAAGATAGCTCTTTGCCTGTTTGCTTTTTTATATTGAATCACTCTGACTTTCACCGATCATTCAATAACTTTTTAAGGCTTGGAACAATGCATCTGTTGTACTAATTATAGTTGGAATTGGTTTTTTTCTGAACACTGTTGTGACAGCTAGTAATTTGTTGAATGGACAGAAAATCACTGTTGGAGGCACTACAGATGGTGGGTCTCCTCAAAGAGGGGGATAACTAACTTCTCCCTGTAACTGTGGGAAGCATCAGACAAATTTATTTATTTCAATGCTTTTATAACCCAGCCTTCTTCATCAGTACAGTAGTGAAACCAACAAAACATTGTTAGAAACAATGGCAAACGAAATAACTGCAAACTGCTTAACAGCGAAGACTAAAACAACCAGTCATTGAACACCTAAAAAGCCTAAGGGAACAGATATGTCTTTACTTGTCAAAAATGACGTGGTGTCAGCACTGAATGTACTTATAGAGGAAGGGCACTCCACAAATAGAGTGCTACCTTGTAGGATGCTCCACCACCCCAGGTAACCTTCTCTTAACAGTGTGATGTGAAGAAGAGCCGCTGTGCAAGTAAACAGGGTGTGTTTTCTACATAAGAGGATGCACTGGGATAGTTTGCATGCCACTCATTTAAGCCAAACCATGGCTGGGCATGAATGCATTAGTGTGTAACTACTTGGAGGAAAACTAGTGCTGCTCCCCTCCCTCTCCTGGTCCTCCAGGCTTAAGCTAAGCCAGAGGTTGGCTATGCATTCTGTCTGGATTCTGACCCACCCCCTGGGTGCATGGGTGGGGGTCATGAGTTGTCTCACTGCAAGCAAAGCAGAAGCAGTAAGCCAAGGGCAACCTTGGCTGCAGCTCATGGTTTCTCCGGAGTGAGCCTGGTTTCTCTGGAGCCTGGGTTGGGATGTAATGCTAAGGCAAGCATGACATAGCTCATGGTAGTGTGGCTATCAAGAGGATCGGGGGAAAGGAAGTGGCTACCGGTTTTCCTCTTGAGTACCTGCATGCTTGAAGATAATTCACTGACAGAGTACATCACTGAAATTCTTACAACAAACTTGAAATGTTTACTAAAACATTAGCAGTGTAGTCAGAAGAAGTCACATTCATTTCAGTGGGGCTTACTTCCTGGCAAACTGGTACAGGATCAAAGCTTAAATTTATTAATGATTTATTACCCTCTTTCTAAATCCCCATGTCAGTAACAGACTTTATTAAAAAGATTCATAGCTGTTTACCCTAATTTTGCTGTTAGAACAAAATGCATATGTAGAAGTAACTGATTTGTGAATTGGTAATTAAGTTCTGACTTCCCCAATTTTAATATAATTGAAAAATAGTACAGTGGTACCTCGCAAGACGAATGCCTCACAAGATGGAAAACCCGCAAGACGAAAGGGTTTTTTGTTTTTTGAGCTGCTTCGCAAGACGATTTTCCCTATGGGCTTGCTTCGCAAGACGGAAACGTCTTGCAAGTTTGTTTCCTTTTTCTTAACACCGTTAACACAGTTGCGACTTGACTTCGAGGAGCAACTCGTAGCACGCGGTGTGGTAGCCTTTTTTGAGGTTTTTGAAGACTTTGGTGCTTTTTGAAGCTTTTCCAAAACTTTTCCGACATCGTGCTTCGCAAGACGAAAAAAATCGCAAGGCGACAAAACTCGCGGAACGAATTAATTTTGTCTTGCGAGGCACCACTGTAATGCCATCTTGCCTGCTAAAAGAGATCCATGTTGCCTATCACTCCATCACCATACAGCTATGCTTGCTCGCAAAAACTGATGGG